GTCGGGCATATCCACTGGAGGCGCGAAGGGGAGCCGAGATTGCCGGTACATTCTGAAGCGCTTCGATGGTGTAGGCTCAAGCAGTCGATCGTCAACAGCAGAAGTGGCGCGTTGTGCAGCAATCGACCCTGATGGCCCAACGACAGGCGGGACAGCGGCATGCTATCTGGCTGCTGGCGTTCCCTTAGGTAGCAGTGTTGGCTCGTGCTCGGCAGGTCTCGGCGACGGGCCCTGAATAGGAGTAGGTCTAGGTCTATGAGCATGTCGACCTCTAAGACGTGGCAGTCGTCGTCCTCCGTGGCGAGCTCGTTATCGCCACTTGATTCTGCCATCACGAGCGAATCGAGATTAAATCAGTAGCGGAACGGTACTCTGGCAGTTGAGAAATAGTTTTGGAAGAGGAACAAACGAGACTGGTGAGGAGTTGAGCGTGTCAACATATATTTGTATATGTTTATAGGCTAGATAGGTGCATGCTCTTAGGGAGCACAACACCATAGCACAAAACCACCCTGTATGCTTCTTTCTAGTCATTGTGTTATTCTCAGATGGTAACACGCTAGGTTAGGTCCCCCTCCCCGCTTACGCTTCCGCCCCTAGCCCTAGCCCTAGCCCTAGCCCTAGTCCTAGCCGCGCCAACGCCCTAGCCCTAGCTGTGCCACGCCGCGCCCGAGCCGCGCCCGCGCCGTCCGCGCCTTGCCCGCGCCGTCCGCGCCGTTCGCGTCGTCCATGCCGCGCCGTGCCGCGCCCGCGCCGTCCCAGCTGCGCGCGCCGTCCGCTCCATCCGCACCGTCCGCGCCTTCCGCACCACGCCCGCGTCATCCGTGCCATCCGAGCCACGCCCGCACCGCTCGTACCGTCAGAGCCGTCCGCGCCTGCGCTGTCCGCGCCAAGCCTCTCGATATCCTTGGGGTCACCCTGCAGTTTCCGAGTTTGCCCGGGATCCAACTCGTCCAGGCTGGGTAGCCCTAAAAAGTTTGACTGTTTTTGCATGCAAGAGTTTCGTCCAGCTCAGAATAAGCCACTCGTGACAATGACAGGGGGAGAAGTTTTAGTAGGGGCGCGAACGTTAACATTAGATTTTACAGGGCGGGTCTATCCCGTACTCGGAAATTGACCGTGGGATAATTCTGGCTTGCCTGTCCATGGACGGGTATCGATATTCTGAATGCATCAAAAGCAGGGCTAGGTTATGTTTTCCTTGACAAAGCAGTGTTATTACCTTGACTTCTAGAGGCCTGGTCTGCACTGTCCGCACCGCGCCTGCCCCGCCCACGCCGTCCGTGCCGTTGGCGCCGCGCCCGCGCTGTTGGCGCCGCGCCCGCGCCGTCCGTGCCGTCCGTGCCTGAGCTGGCCTCGCTAGTCCGCGCTGGCCCCGCTAGTTCGCGCCGGCCCTGCTGGTCCATGCCGGCCCCGTCCCTTCGAGCCAGCCCCGTCACTCCACGCTGGCCCCGTTACTACCGCCGGCCCCGCTAGTCCGCGCCGGCCCTGCCACTCTGCGCCGGCCCTACCACTTTGTGCCGCCGAGTCGCCGCGCTGCCGAACCGCCGAGCCGCCGGGTCGCCGATCCATCGAGTAGCCACGCCGCCGAGTCGCCGTGCTGCCAAGCCGCCCAGTAGTCGCACCGATGCGCCGCCGAGCCGCCGTGTTGCCGAGCCGCCCCGACCCGCCGGCCCTGGTCCCCTCCTCTGCGCCGGCTCTTCCGTCGGTCGTCTCCACCGCTGCTCTCCACCGCTCCCCACCGCCCTCTTCTCCTCCTCTTCTAGCGGCGGTAAGCTGCTGCAGCCGTGGCAATGGCGGATGCCGTGCTCCGCATCGACGCGGAGGGTTAGGCGATCGACTTTGAGACGTGGCTCGACGACCTCCGCCGCTCGCTGAGTGGACAGCATCAGGATGGCCAGTCTTTGGCCGTCCATGTCGACAGTAAGATCCCCTGCCCCGACCCACCTGCTTCCCTCTCTGACACCCCCACGCCCGCTGAGTGTGAGGCCTTTGCAGCTCTAAGATTGCCCGCTCTGTCTGGGAGTCGCGTAATGCAGTTGCGCAGCTTGCTATCAATCGCGCCCACCCCCTGTCTGAGCGCCCCCGCTACCAGGCCCTAAAGACTGCAAAGGAGTACTTAGATGCCGTTATTGCGCGCTATTCCACTCCCTCCTCCGCCTTGGCCGGCTGTCTTCTTCTCCCCCTGCTCTTCCCTGACCTTGCGTCCTTTCCGACTGTCACTCATCTCGCCACTCACCTGCTCACGGTAGAGGCTAGCTGCCACGCTGCTAGCACTGAGACTCAGCTCCTTGTACTGCCTCCCCCCCTCGGTGCTACCCTCTACTTCCTTGCCACGGGCCTTCTTGACCGCCTAGCCCCTGCCCGCGACCACTTCCTTGGCCTCCACCCCGCTGACCTCACCCTCTTTGACTTTGTCACTACCGTGACTGCGATAGAGACTCGCCAGTGCACTATCGCTCAGGCGAGGGGTACTGCGGTGGTCCCTATCTTCCAGGGCTCTCTCCCAGTGCACTTACTCTGACGTCTATGCCGCTGTTGTTGAGATGGCCTCTGCGGCGGCCTCAGTGCAGTCTCATCAGTGTAGGGGACGCCGGGCCCGTGGGGGGCGTGGCGGCGGGAGGGGTGGCGGGGGTGCCGGGGGTGGCTGAGGTGGTGGAGGGGATGGTGGTGATGACGAGGGGACCGGGGCTGGTGCCCTGGCGCAGCAGCAAGAGCAGCAACAGCAGCAGCAGCAGCCCCAGCAGTAGCAGTCGCAATAGCAGCAGATACATCCGTGGGGACCCCCGCCGCTGTGGTGGCCTAGAGGCTCTGGTGGTGGTGGTCGTGGTGGTGGGCCATGAAGCTCGGTGTTGAGTGGCAGCTCCAGTGTCGTGACCTGCCAGTACCAGCTTCAGTCTAACCCCCACCGCGGCATCGTCTGCGACCGTCCCGGTCACGCCGCTGCTCGCTGCCGCCTCGACGGCCTCTTTCGTCTCCGGTTCGGCCCTGCGTCGGACCACCCCGACTGACACAGCCTGGTACGTCGCCGTGTGTCGGTCTTTGAGATGGATATGGATCAGATTCGTTCTGCTATGTATGCCATGAATGCTGATGATTCTAGTGTGACTGGACCCTATTACCCTGTGTTGCCTAGTGTAGGTGTGTCCACTCTATGTAGTTTAGGCTCCCCTGCTGCGTCAGGTGTAGGACCTCCTGCCTTGTTTAGCCTGGAGAATGAGGGGAAGTGCACACTTGTAAGAGAACCCCAGGGAGCCGCTGGAGAGAGAATGGAGGTGGAGGTACTTGCAACTACCGGACCGGAAGCGGGGTCAGCAAGAGCGACAGCTGCAGGGGTGGCAAGCGGTGTGAGCGCAGTGTGGTCACGAAAGAAGTAGTGGGACACGCCAGAGTCAAGCGTAAAGGTAGCGTCAGCTGGCGGAGGGACTAGGTTGGAGCCCTAGTGAGTGTCGGCCATCTTCAGGACCTCGGTGCCATTACTACGTTTCCTAAACACTAGCGGTACGCAATCTGTACCGAGGCTGCCACTGGTGCCCCTCTCACCACATTCCCCCGGGACACCGCGTCCCCTCCGGTGGGAGCATCACACTAGGTGGCTGCACCCTCCCAGGTCACTGCGGCTTGCTCGTGTCGGTCGCTCACGCACCTGTCTCTACTGTGGAACCACCGCCTAGGTCACCCCGCACTACAGCGTCTGTGTCACATGTCCCAGCACGGTCTTGTTTTAGGTCTCCCTACGTCACTCCCTACTCTCCCTCCCTCACCTGCGTCACCGTGTACGCCCTGCGTTGAGGGCCGGCTGCGCCGTGCTCCTCCCTCATCCTCGCTTGCCCCTACCACTGCGCTACTCCATACCCTGCACCTGGGCCGCGTCGAGAGCGCTAGTTTCTAGTGCTTGTTGACGACTACACGCATGATACCACGATGTTTTCCCTGGAGTGGAAGGCCGACGTGCCTGACGTTGTTATCCCGTAGGTCGTAGCTGCGCGAGTCCACCGTGGCCTCCCTGTGTTGCGTCTTCACTCCGTTCGTGGTAGGATCACCCAGTCGTACACCCCACCGGACTCCCCGCAGAACAATAGGATCGCTGAGCGACGCATCGGTTTGGTCATAGAGGTGGCTCGTACCTCCATGATCCATGCTGCTGCACCCCATTTTATGTGGTCATTAGCTTTTCGCTATGCTGCTCACCAGCTTAACCTATGGCCACACTCCCAGCAGCCGCAAGTTTCGCCGACCCTCCTCTAGACCAGGTCCCTGGGTGACGTGGCTGCGTTCCACGTCTGGGGCTGCCTCCCTCACGTTCGTCCCTCTAGCACGGACAATCTCACTGCCCAAACTATCCCTTCTGTCTTCCTTGGCTTCCCCCTAGACGTGTCTGACTGGCACTTTTACCACCCGCCGTCTCACCGCTTCTTTCAATCTCATGGCGTCGCTTTAACACTTGCGCTCCCCACCGAGGTCTCCCGGTTACCCCTCCCCTGTTCCTGGTCCCCACTCCCCCAGTAGCCCCTGCTCCTCTCCCTCCCCGTCCTGCCTTTCCCAGTGTGTCGCATGTCACTCCCCTCCCGGTAGAGGAGTTGGCTTACTCTGGGGCCCTTGCGGCTCCGGTTTCGCCGCCTGTCTCTGCCCAAGTGTCCCTGTCACATGATCGAATGTGTCGAGGAAAAGTTGCACTATCGATTGATACAAGGTGCTTTTATACTTCCAAAGTACATCAGGTAACCAGGTTTATCCTATCCAAAGGGAATAGACCCTTCTAGAAATAGAATCACCCTGCGTATAGCCACGCGAGGCTATTGGCTTTAAGGGATTACGGCATGATTACGCTAGATATAGCGAGCCAGTACACCCCGAGCCTGGTCGGTGATATAGTTATAATAAGAGGATAAACCAAAGGTTTATGGAAAAGGAGGAATATGAATCCAAATGGAATCAGATAAAAAGCAAAGGAATCAGGATAAAAAGAGGAATGAAATGGAAAGGAGAATGGAACGGGGTCGTACTCTCACACTTCCCCCCCTCAAAGCTGGGTGGTAGACGTAACACCCTGCTTGACAAAGTAGTCACGAAGAGGGCGACGAGTGTGATCCATCTCGGATTCAGAGACCCAACTAACTTCTGAAGGATCATAACCCTTCCAATGGATGAGAAGCTCCACGGTGCCATTCCGTCGACGGTGGTGAGCAAGCACGGACTCGACCTCGTACTCGGGTTCATCATGGACGAGGACGGGCGGCGGCGGCGGCGGTTGTCGTCTAGAGAAGACCGTGTTGGGATCTCGGTAGGGCTTCAAGAGTTGGACATGGAAGGCGTTGTGAATCTTCCAGGTAGCTGGTAGGCGTAAGCGGAAGGTAACAGGAGTGACCTGTGCTTCAACGAGAAAAGGCCCGCAGAAGCGAGGTCGCAGTTTGGATGGGAGATGGCTGATGTCAAGATTGCGCGTGTCGAGTAGTACTCGGTCTCCCACGGTGATCGTGTGGTCTGTGCGGTGGCGATCGGCCTGGCGCTTTTGTTGTTGCTGAATGTCGAGAAGGCGTTTGTGGGTCCGATCCCAAAGTTTGTGCATGGTCGTGATGAAGTCGTGTGCGGGTTGAACTGTGGCTGGTATGTTTGGCTGTTGAGGTGTGAGTGGGTGGCGGCCGTAGCAGAGGAAGAACGGCGTCTGTCCAGTAGCGGCGTGAGTAGCATTGTTGTAGGCAAACTCTAGAATGGGCAGATGCAAGTCCCACTTGGAGATTTCGTCCTTGCAGGCTGCGCGGAGGAGTTGCTCCACAAATTGGTTAAGACGCTCAGTCTGGCCGTCTCTCTGCGGATGGTATGCGGATGACATGGCGAGTTTGGTTCCGAGTAGAGACATCAGTTCTTTCCAGAATTTATTGGTGAACTTAGGGTCTCGGTCAGAGATGAGTGTGGTTAGAATGCCATGTTCTGAGATGATGTAGCGAACAAAGAGTTGTGCTATCTCCTCGGTGTGTGCTGTCGTGTGTGTTGGGATGAAGTGTCCCATTTGGGAGAACTTGTCGATGACGACGAGGATCGCGTCATGACCGCTTGTGGTAGTTGGTAGCCCGGTGATGAAGTCTAGGCTGACCACTTGCCAGGGCTGTTCTGGGACAAGAAGAGGCTGTAGCAGTCCCGCCTTTTTCTGCTTGCTGCTTTTTATCCGCTGACATGTAGTGCACGAGGTGACGAATTTCTGTACGTCACCTGCCATGTGGGGCTAGTAGTAGTGTTTGTCGATACCGAAGAGCGTCTTGTTGCTACTGAAGTGTCCTGCATACAGGACGTCGTGGTATTCTTCGAGTAGTAACTGGTGCAATGGAGGGTAATTTGGTACCCAGATCTTCGTTGATCCTTTCCGGTACGCGATGTCGTTGTCCCACTGTAACAGATTTCACTTTTCTGCCAAGGGAATTTCAGGGTCGATGGTGTACCCGTGTGTGAAGAGTCCCTTGAGGAGTGGATTCATCCCTTCGATCTGAATAGCGGCAACGTGTGCAGGCCGGCTAAGTGTGTCTGCTTTATTTTTATGGCGAGGCTTGTACACGATGTCGTAGTGGAAGTGTGTCTCGATCCACCAAACCTGTCACCTGGAGAGGCTTGGTTGCGTCGTCAAATATTTTAGGCTGCAATGGTTGGTGTAGACTGTTGTTTTGCGTCCTTCGAGATAACATCTCCACGTTTTGAATGCGATGATGATAGCCAGGGCCTCCTTGTCGTGTATCGGATAGTTGAGTTCTGCTCCATGTAATTTTTTGCTGAGGTAGGCAATTGGTTGCAGCCCATTCCCCTGGTCTTGCATCAAGACTGCTCCCACTGCCTGGTCGCTGGCGTCAGCTTCGATGACGTAGTCGCGTTCGGGGTCTGGCAAGATGAGTACGGGTGCGGGCGTGAGTGCTTGCTTCAGCTGCTCCACGGCTTCTTGGTGTTGTGGCTCCCATTTATAGGGTGTGTTCTTCTTCAGCAGATTCGTGAGTGGCGCGGCGATTTTCGCGTATTGCGGCACGAACCTGTTGTAGTAGTTAGCGAAGCCAAGGAATTGCTGTAACTCCTTCACGTTCTCGGGTGTTTTCCATGTATGCACGGCTTCGATTTTCTTGGGGTCGACGTGAATTCCTTGAGCGCTTACAAGATGTCCGAGGAATTGGACTTTCTCGAGGGCTAAGTCGCTCTTGGATAGTTTGACAAAGAAGCGTTCTCGTCGAAGAATCTCGAAAACGTGTCGTAAGTGTTCGACGTGTTGTTGCATGTCGCGTGAGTAGTCGAGGATGTCGTCCAAGTACACCACCACGCATTCGTCCAAGAGTGGGCGCAGGATGTGATTCATCTCTGCTTGGAACGTTGCAGGTGTGTTGGTGAGTCCAAATGGCATTACCAGATACTCGTACGAACCGTACCGAGTTCGGAAACCTGTTTTGTGAACAGAATCGTCCGCCATTCGTATCTGCCAGTATCCGGGCTGCAGATCTGGTTTTGAAAATACCGTGGCTCCCCGAAGCTGGTCAAGCAGGTCATCGATTCGTGGAATCGGGTACTTGTTCTTGATGGTCTGCTTGTTGAGAGCTCGGTAGTCGATGCACATGCGCAGGCTTCTGTCCGGTTTCGGTGTGAAGAGTACTGGGGCACCATCTGGTGAAGTGGATGGTCGGATGAGTCCTTTGGCGAGGAGATACTCAATCTGTTTCTTCATGTCGGCTAGCTCTATAGGGCTGAGCCGGTATGGTGCTCAGAAGGTCGCCTTCGAACCTGGTTCCTCCACGATCTCGTGTTGGTGTGTTCAGTATGGCGGTAGCTCGTCCGGGAGGTCGTCAGGAAGAATGTCTTGGAACTCCTTCAGTAAGTCCATTATTTTTTCTGGAGGTTCCGAGGCTTTCTCTCCTTCATTCCCCACCTCTGTTGCTATCGCCAAAAATCCGGTGTTGGTCCGCTTGACGTCCTTCTCGAACCTGGCGAGTGTCTCCACTGGGATATCTCCTGTATCGTCCCAGTTGGGTAGCTGGACTTTCCTTCCTTTGTTGTAGATGCTTGCGGTGCGGTTTACCTAGTTGATCTCGCGGTTGAATTTCTTGAGGAAGTCTCGCCTGAAGACCAAGTCAAGCCCTTTTATGTTGGTGATGGGGAGAGCAGGTTTCCAGAGTAGTGGCCCGATTTGTAGATGTAGTACTGCTTCGCCGTACACTGGTAACTTGCTGCCGTCCACCATCGTTGCAGAAAACGCTGATGGCTTGTACTCTTCTCGAAGTCGGTCGATGGTTGCCTTGTCGCATACGGTGTGCGATGCTCCGCTGTCTACGAGTTCTTGGAGGCGTCGTCCTTTGCAGATGACCTCGAGCACGAGGGGCAGGCATTGCTCGGAGTACCCAAAGATAGTTTCATTGATTGGGTCATAGGGTACATACCAATATTCGTTGCTTCCTACTCCTGAGCTAGCAGCTGGCCGAGGCTGCTTGGAGAAAGGCTCTTCTCCAGGGCCCGGATTTTCTGTGACGACTGTTCGTATCGTTGACGAAGTTGCCGAGTTGGATGCATCCGAAGAGGGAGTTCGAGGTTTTTGCAGCTTCTTGTAGACCCCCAGATTCCTCTTGAGCTGCTTCAGCTCCACCAACGTCTTCCCTGGGGAACGGGTAGTCGTTGTGGGCTGGTGTCGGGAGAGGAAGTTGACTCCGTGGAGAGGTCGGGTTCTTTCCACACTCCTTAATTTGGTCCCCAAGTTCTCCGGTACCAGTATGATCTCCACAATTTCCTGCTTCTTCTGGAGTCCCTCCCAAATTTTCTCCAAGGCTCTAGCCCCTCGATAATCATAAGCTTTCATTAAAGCATCTTTATAAGACAACTTTAACGAATCCTTATAATTTCTTGGATCTTGCGGCTTTCATTTTGTTGCAGTCGAAGATTCGATGACCCGGCACCCGGCAAAAATCACACGTGTAGTTGGTGTTTTTCGGACGTGGCCGCCCTTCAAACTTGTCGACTTCCATCGGGTCGGCGAACGTGGTGTGAGCCGAGCGGTCGCCCTGTCGCGTACTGCCGACGTGCGCCCGTCGTGTCCCGGCGTTGACCATGTCGAAGCGTTCCGCGGCCGATACGACGGCACTGTAGCTCGCGTAGTTTGTCGCTGCCACTTGTCATTTGACTTCGGTCTTCAGCCCGGCAAGGTATGACTGTACCTTTTCCCCTTCGGTCAGGTCGGGAATACGGTTATAAAATTCTTCCATTTGCTGCATGTACTGTGCTACACTCCCGAACAATCGATGGCGATGAATTTTTTCCCGCGCAAGGACACCCCAATTTATCGGCTCGAATCGTTTCGACAGGTCGGTGCGGAATTGCTGCCACGTGGGATCGACGTGAACTCCTTGAGCGCTCACCATGTGGCCTAGGAATCGGACTTTCTCGAGGGCGAATTCGCTTTTGGATAATTTGATGTAGAATCGTTCTCGTCGAAGAATGTCGAAGACGCGTCGCAGGTTTTGGACGTGCTGCTGCATGTCGCGCGAGTAGATGAGGATGTCGTCCAGATACACCACCACGCATTCGTCCAAAAGTGGGCATAGAATATGGTTCATTTTGGCTTGGAACGTTGGCAGTGCATTGGTGAGTCCAAACGGCATTACCAGATACTCGTACGACCCGTACCAAGTTCGGAAAGCAGTTTTGTGGATGGAATTGTCCGCCATTCGTATCTGCCAGTATCCGGACCGCAGATCCAGTTTGGAAAATACCGTGGCTCCCCAAAACTGGTCAAACAGGTCATTGATTCGTGAGATTGGGTATTTGTTCTTGATGGTCTACTTGTTGAGAGCTCGGTAATCGATGCACATGCTCAGGCTTCCGTCCGGTTTCGGTGTGAAGAGTACTGGGGCACCGTATAGAGAAGTGGATGGTCAGGTGAGTCCTTTTGTGAGGAGATACCCGATCTGCTTCTTCATGTCAGCTAGTTCTATGGGGCTGAGCCGATATGGTGCTCGGAAGGTCGGCTTCGAACCTGGTTCTTCCACGATATTGTGTTGGTGCGTTTGGTATGGCGGGAGCTCGTCCGAAAGGTCGCCGGGAAGAATGTCTTGGAACTCCTTCAGTAATTCTTTGATTTTTTTTTTAAGTTCCGAGGCTTTCTCTCTGTCACTTTCCATATCCGTCGCTATCGCCAGAAACCCGGTGTCGGTTTGTTTTACGTCCTTCTTGAATCTTGCGAGTGTCTCCACTGGGATATCTCCTGTATCGTCCCACTAGGGTAGCTGGACTCTCCTTCCATTGTTGTAGATGCTTGCGGTACGATTTACCCAGTTGATCTCAAGGTTGAATCTTCTTAGGAAGTCTCGCCCACAGATCAAGTCAAACTCTCTTATGTTAGTGATGGGGAGTGCAGGTTTCCAGCGCAATGATCCGATTTGTAGGTGTAACACTACTTCGCCGTGTACTGGTAACTTGCTGCCGTCCAACATCGTCGCAGAGAATGCTGAAGGCTTGTACTCTTCCCGAAGTCGGTCGATTACTGCCTCGTCGTAGATGGTGTGCGATGTCCTTGAAGAAAGTCTCTCCCTCAGGACCCTGAGCTTTCTTGACGACTGTGTGTGTCGTTGATGCCAAATTTGCTGAGCTGGATGCATCCGGAGGAGGAGTTCGGGGTTTTTGCAGCTTCTTGTAGACCCCCAGCTTCCTCTTGAGCTGCTTCAGCTCCACTGACGTCTTCCCTGGGGAACGGGTAGTCGTTGTTGGCTGGTGTCGGGAGAGGACGTTGACTCCGTGGAAAGGTCGGCTTCTTTCCACACTCCTTAATTTTGTCCCCAAGTTTTTCCGGTACCGGTATGATCTCCACAGCTTTCTGCTTCTTCTGGAGTGCCTTCTGAAACTTCTCCAAGGCTCTAGCCCCTCGAGAATCATAAGTTTTTATTCAAGCACCTTTATAAGACAACTTTAACGAATCCTTATAAACTCTTGGGTCTTCTCAGAGTTTCCCTGTCTCGGCAGAGTCCTTTTTCGCGGAGTCGGATATTTTCTCTACGATTTTCTGTGGTGAAGACTGGTCGTGGGGTGGAGATTTTTCCCCATCATTTCCTCCTGCTCGCGTCGAATCATCTTCGTTGAAGTCGATTTTCTCGGAATCTCGCGGCCGCTTTCGGATCTTTTCTTTTTTGCCAGCTAGATCCGCAATCAGTGGCTAATTCCATTTTTTGTCTTCTGATTGGCCGAAGAATTTCCGCCACTGTTGCATGCCCGACACTATGC